CTGCAATCTAATCAGTCTCCAAGGGGCTGACATTGTGCCTGGGGTTTGTTCTAATCCTGCTCATCTATAGAACTTTGCTCAAGTTATAATTTCCATCCTAAACTCTTCCTGTCTCTCTACAGCTAGCTTCCCATCACCAAGCATGTATGCCCTTGGTGTTGTAGGACCTTTCCATAAAAGTATACTCGTGGACTTAAGATTACAAAAGAGATTAGCCCCCTGTGCAAAGCTTCCTACTGTCAAGTTCACAGATAATTAGATAAGTAGGAATTTCCTTCCTACTGCCAAGGAAAGGAGGAAGGGGGTGTGTGTCTGTGTGCGTGTGCGTGTGTGTGTGTGTGCATGCGCGCATGCGTGCAGGGTGATCCTAAGAAAAACAATCTGCTAGAAGGACAGCCCAGACTCACGGTAAAGTAAGCATGCAGAGGTACCAAATCCTATAGAAATCAGGGTAAGAAAGGGCTGAGCTGAGTTATGAATCAGGCGGAGACAGAGGCAGGCATACGGATAGGTAAATGAATAGGAGGAAGGAGAGAAAAGCATGCAGTAAGCTTTCTCAAGCAGTTGAGTCTTAAGCAAGGTGGAGCAGGGGTTGAGTATTGAAAAACAATAAATTCAAACTCTGGCATCTCCGGTCCATCTGATGTTTCTGGTGTCAAGGCCATTGTTACTGACACATGTGGTGCTGAGCTGCTTCCTGGGGTTCTGGGACAGTGGAGGAGTGCTCAAGTCACCTCCAAGACCAACAGAACTTTACTGGTATGCATGTGTCTTTTTATGGGAAAAGGATTTACCGACAATATCTCAAGGAGACCAGAAATCCCAGAAAGTGTTCCTTCAGAGACAGGATGTGATTCCTGTCCCCTGGCAGTTCACAGATAATTAGGTAAAAGCAATGGAATGACAGCTCACAACTTCTGAATCCTCACTGGGCTCTGCGCTGATGGGGACTAGCTCACACCATCCTCTGACAAACCTGCTAAGACAGGCACCAGCAGTAAGCTCCATCTTCAGAAGAACAAATCGAGACTTAGAGGAGCTAATACAGCAGCCAAAGTCACAAAGCTCGGGAGTGAACAGTAAAATTGAACTCCAATCCAACTGCCCCAGATCACAAAGGCCATGCTCTTGGACAGTGATTACAAACATCATTATAAGTTCTATGCAAGTGAACTCAAGACACCAGTTTCTTAGGGATTCCAGGACAGTTGCAGAGACTATTTTAACTAAATCTTGACTGTTGAAGCAAGAATGTTTGTAGTGTGAGTAGTGAAGTGTGAGGGGAAGATGGAAGTTTGTAGTGAGAGAAAGGAGGGCACCTGAGAGTCTGATCACCTAGGGTGTCTCCAGGTCCAGATGTTCAATGGCTGAGGGCTCTGGGTTGGGAGGTTAGGGTACTCTTACAGAGTGAACAATCAGAAGTCACCCCAGATAATGGCAAAATATAGGCAAGGGGACATGAAAAGAAAGCAGTATTGAGGAAGCAAATGTTTTTCAAGTTGATTATTATAATTCAGTAGTGATTTCCCATGCCAACTGCAAGAAACGGATTGTATGAGAGACCCTCCCTCCCATACACTCTTCATGTATTCATTAGCCTTTGCATTAAACCTACAATATCTACCAAAGTGTATAGCCTATTTTCTAAATGCCAGTCTAGTATAGACTTGAATGACTTTGGCTGAGGAATGCCTTAGCCTCAGAGGACCTGGATGTCTCCACTCACATTCTGGGTGACTCTGACCTGTTGGAAGAGGAGACACTACATGGAAAAGAACGCTTTTGCCTTTCCTAGGGGCATCCTGGACCACAGCTAACCAACCCCCAATCTGTGAACTAGCTCAGCAGGGATGGGCTGCCTCTTGACATACAGGTAACCTGAGACACATAAATCAAGGAACCCTGGGAAAGGCAGAAGGAAGAACAGCCACATGGCTAGCTCACAGACCTGCAAGTAGTCTCTTACACCTCTGCTACACCTGAGTTTTGGGAATAGATTGTTTTGTATTAGTACCATGAGTGTGTCTGTTGTCTTCCTCTTGCCCAGTACATCTTTAATGGAATGAGTCTCCATTTGAGATGTATTTGAGGTTATATTAAAAAGACTATTCTGGTCAAAGAAAATTGAGAAATACTCAATTTATGTAACATATATTCATAACTCAAAATACATTCCTATTGCATATTCATGCATGAATACACATTAACATTCATAGTATATTTTTAAATGTATTAAACACCTGAAAACTTTAACAGTTTGATTTTTGGAATCTCTGATGAAGATCTCATTGGCCAATGCTCCTACAAACACCAGCTTGGAAATGGATGCTGCCTGTCTTTGTTCTGTTGAGGAGACAGGTAAGCCTCAAGAGCACCATGGGCTGAGCAGGCAACTGACTGGGTGGAGTACAAGGTCTGCATATCTCCTTTTATCTTTTTCATAGCTTATGTTATGTTATATTATATTACCATATAAACTTCTACTTTTTAAAGGAAAGATTGTAGCTAAGTGAGGTTTAAAATTAAACTGTGCAATTGCTATTTTTAATTCTAGATGCTCTAAAAATAGATAAGAGATATATTGATTCACTCTTAAAATGCAAGAATTATAGTGGTCTTCAGATGAGTATGTAGGAAAATCAATGGACCCCCATTCTTTCTCTAGCCTTCTTTGTGACATATAAATGGCTCTAAGGGGTTCTGGGTAGAAAGCCTATGCAGACTCTTAATTCTGTCAGATCATGTCCTCACTATTTTATTATGTACTGGTCTCTCTTCAGAAATCATTAAACACTGTAATGACTCTAAACAGTTTCCATGGGACTGCCACTCTGAGCCCATCCCTAGGCAGCAGAACACAAAACAAAACCCCAAAATAACTTTGCCAAGTCAGCAAAATGTTTTGGCTTTGACGGCTGCAGAGCTGCTGATGTGGGAGGAGAGAGGTGCAGGTGTGCGTGTGTGCGTGCGCGCGTGGTGTGCGTTTCCATGTGTGTGTGTTCGGAAGGCCATCTGTCAGCTTGGTTTTCCAAGCTATGAAGAAGAAAAAAAAAACCCATACATGTTTATGAAGGTTGGAGGCAGAACAGGGCACAAGCTGCTGAAGGCAATGTGGAGGGTGCGGCTGGGCAAGGGGCTGCTACAACAGCGACCACTGTCTGCATCTGAGATCCTGCTCTAGGAGGAAAACGAACTTAAGACATAAGCTTTGGATCCAGAGCCATTCACTCTGGGTCACAGTCATTCATTTTCAGTTTTGTTCATTCCCTCGCTCTCACACACTTGTTGTGCAGCTACCCTGTGCTAATGTTCTCTAGTAGTCAGGTCACGGAGAGGGCATCATCCCCATGCTCGATACACACAAGTGATTTAAAGCAAATGTATTCAGTTCTATCCATAGATACTGTATAGTGAGTGCTTGATTATAAACTCTGAGAATCCAATGGTCATGGTTTTTCTATTGCCGTTACAAACACAAGAAGATTAAAGACTAGATAGAGAAAAGGACTCAGGCAACCTGACAAAAGCAGTAAGGAAGTCAGTGAGATTATAGCTGTTGTAGTTCAGCTTGTGGGGTGAGCAGCAGTAGATAAATGTCTGTGTCTGCAAGCTACAGCCCGAGCCTCATGCCTCCTGCTTCTCTTAGGCCTTTGAAAAAGTAGAAATTTGTTACCACACTGGGTAAGTCTAGGTCTTAGGAAATAGCAATCGAGCAGCCAATGCAATCCATTCATGCATCCATGTGTCTCCCAAGCAAAACTTCTTTTATCTTTAGGTAACAACCTTTTAGAGTGCTGATAAACAGGGAATCCCTTTAAGTAGAAGAACCAGGAATTCTCATGGATTCCTTCCTTAGGATAGAGTCAGTTGTCTTTCATTAAATATTTCTGAGCTTGCTTCCAGCCTGGCATCCAGCTATCAGGGTTCATTTTTGGTAATACAGGAACCTCAGGAGACTCACGGAGGTGTTGGGGAAGACATACTTACTGTTCAAAGGGTAATAAGTGTTACAGGGCCACAAAGATAGGGGTGATTAAAGCAGAAACCCCAAGTCTCACTGACAATTGGATGAAGGAATATCAGGTAGCAGACAGAGCAGGAAGAAGGTCTGGAGAGCTGGGCCAGAAGAGGGGTAAGAGACTTGTGAGCCAATAGAGCCCTTTAGGCTGCCTGTCTGCCAGGCTAAGAGGCTTAAGTTTTTTTCCCTTGGAGCTATTAAGCATGGAGAGGGTGTGACCAGAATGGCTAATAAAATCAGAAAAACTAGGGCAGCAAATAGAGTGTGTTTCCTCGAATATCTAAACCTGTCAGAGGCAAGTGAGTCAATCCCGGCACAAACTGAACTGAAGGAAACTGTAATGGGGGGCTGGACCAATTGAAACCCAAACAGCAGGCCAATCCTCATGCTGCTGACAGTAGGAATATGAGGTTGCCTTCAGTGCCAGGGTAGAGCTCGGTTTTCCTTTCTGGCTCAGATTCCTAGGAGTCCCTCCAGCAGATGGGGTCCAGATACACTGGGCATTGTCCTTACCATAGCCCCATTCACCTGCTAGTTTCTCGGAGAGCCTGTTATACAGGACCTTTTCTGTAAGTCCCTGCTAATGGTATGAATCCTTATATACCTCAAAGGCCTGGACTAGCCCTTTTCTTGTTCCTTTGAAACATCTCAATCATTTTCATATTGGATGGGTAGAAAAACCCAACAGCGTCCTATACTTGACCATTTACTATAAAACTGCGGTTGGGGACCTTTATTCTGGAACACCTGGAACCTTGAGCCCCTCAGGCAGAGCTGTTTGTATTATCCAACCCCACCGCTTTCCACTCTCAGGAATAAGAGGAACAGACCTTTGTCCTGATTGGCCCCCTGATCATCTGTACCATTCTTCCCTCACATCTCTGTCCCTGTATCCATGAGAAGCCATATGTGAGACTAATTCTGAAAGAAGAGGCCCCTGCAGCCACTGTGTAAATCTGGTCGCCGAGGAACATGTACTTACACTTACAGGTTGACTTTTTGGCACATCATAAACACCTTCCTTCTTTTGGCTGGTGGGAACCTAGAGAGAAATTAAATTCAATAGTCAAAACACTGGGGTTCTGCTTTCCGTCTTTTTCCCTATATAGCCCTGGATGTCCTGGACCTTGCTCTGTAGACCAGGCTGGCCTCAAACTCATAGATTCCCTTGCCTCTGCCTCCCAAATGGTGGGATTAAAGGTATGTGGCACCACCATCTGGCTTGGTGTTCCACTTTCAAAGCAGTCACCCATCTCTGTAAATTTGACTGTCCGTGAGATGGCTCCTAAGACAGATCCAGCACCCATCCCTGTGGGGTGTTGTTAGCTGTGAAGGCCTCAAGCCAAGCTCCTTCCCTTGAGAAAATTCTATCAGGACAGGGGTAACCATCTTATAATAAATGTCTGCTCTTGTGGCTTTCTTAGAATCAAAGAATAGCTATGGAGACCTCAATCATCACATGGAAATTAAAAAATGTAACAACAAAAAATTCAATTTCATTTGATTAATCATACAGGAGGTTCAGATGTTATGATTTTCCCTGATGTAACTACAGTTTGCAGTTGAGCATGTATGTCTCTGTGCTAAGACTGGTATGCTATGTAAAATATAAGTCCCTAGTACCTATCAACTTTCTACTGGGGTCCCAAACAAGCCACCTGCCAATCAAAGAAAGGGTCCATATGACAGGGAAAGTAAGACACAAGGATCCAGAAGTTCCTGATTAAGTTGACATCCCTCCAGATCTTCCCTTGCTTCCTTGCCCTGCTCACTCATCTGGCCTCCTGGGGCTACTTGCTTCCGTGCAACACCCTGAGCAGGTCATCAAGCCCCTCTGGCTTTGCTGCTCTCAATCGGCCTGACCGACACTGTATCTCACTCAGGTTATGCTAAGAAGCAAAATGAGAAACTGGATATCAGATAAGCAAGAACTATGGAGCCCCACAATTCTGCAATATGGCAGGATGATGATTTCCTTTGTCACACATAATCATATACATATGTATATGAACACATTTTGTGATATTAATAGTGTTGAATACGTCTCTAATGTGTCAATCAAGGGCTCTGCATTGAAACATTCCAGATTGGAAGCACTCATTAACTGCTCCTCCCCCAGACTGCCACGGCTTTGCTCTTCTCTGCAGAGACCAGGCAGCAGTGGATTTATAATGTCCTGGCAGTGGGACTGTCTTTCCAGCAGGCTGGATGCTCCTCAGGAGCAGATAGAGTATGTCACAACCAGAAGGCCTGTTACGAATACCCGCTGGGTAAATCTTCCATATAGCAGTGTGGGGGACACTGAAAAAAAGAAATGCTTGCCAAGCATGGACCAGCCAGCTAATCTATCCCTGAGAGTAAGAACCTGAACTGATATGTTGAATTCTATTTTTACCCTCATTTAACTTAATCTCCTGAAGTCAACCCTACCCTCAAACCATAGAAAGTCAGCCTCAAAGATGTTGTGGACTTTGCTTCAAACTTCAGACCTGGTAGTGTTCAAACCCATGTCATTCTGGCTACCAAAATAACACTTTTAGTCTTAATATTACTAGTTAACATGGCACCAGGCAAGTCCCAGGAGCTGGCAGGGTGGCAAACATTCCGTTTTCCATAAATAGCGATATAATAACCAGGATAAGTCATTCAGAACTACAGCCACCCCTCTCTGTGATGTAGAGGAGGAAGATCAGACCTGGAGAGGGTCCAGCAGTCAGGGATTGGGGTGGCCAGACCCTGCAGCTCAGGCAGTTTGCTGTTTATTTCTACCTTGTTCAGGAGGCTGCATCAGGTACATCTTTCTTTATAAAACATCATGCCCTACATTCCCAGAGGCCCATGTGCATCCTTGCAGAAAAACAGAGCTATGAGTAAGCACGGCCAGGTGGAAGATGCCCTTCCCCAACCCCAGTTTGCAGGTATCCAATGAAGAATGTCATTTCTTTGGTCCTGATAACTGGGCTCCATTTAGAAGGAATCCTCCCGGAATGTCTACAGAGTCCTTGTTAACAAGGGCCGATAAATTACCGGCCCTCACGTTTGTTTTCAGTAGCTCACCCTTTACTGAGCAGAATGAGGAGCATTCCTTTGCCTGTAATTCACTGCTCACTACGGGCACTTAGCACAGTTGAACCGCGGCTGCTTCTCAATTATCCCCACAAATGGAGAACAAGCCATGCGACGGAGAAACCCAAACTGTGCATAATTGAAAACACTTTTCTACTCTGCTCTCCCATGGGTGAGATATCAATCTGCTTGTTTGTCCTTTACGATTTATCTCAGCCAGGACATCTTCTCACCAGTCCCACCTCCCTCTACCAAACGTGGTTTAGAGTTTTTTGATTGTTGTTTGGTTTCCCTGCTCAGGTACACCCATGCTTTCACTAAAAAAGAAAAGTTCCCAAGCACCTCTTCTATGCCAGGTATTGTGCCTTTTCTGGGCAGGGAGAATGGAAGATACGGCCCGGAGTCAGCAGCACTCCTTGGGTTGTGTGAGATGGAAGTATACACAGGCAGAGTATGAGACAGGCTTTTTCTATTCATGAGAGCTATGACAGCATGTGCTGTCTGTGTGTCTGTAGGACCACAGCTCTCTGTAAGCTTGGTCAGCACAAGGTGCACACTTGATTATCCTTGTACTTTCATACTTAGACCTTAAGTAAAGACTTGCCTCAGCAAACGTTTACCAGTGAGGGCTAAGGTCTGGCTCTGCACGGGTGATCTGATCCATCTAATGGACCACTGAGATACACAACAGTGATGTAGAGCGTTAAATTTTTTACATGAGATGGTGAAAATCTGGTCCCTAACCCAGCTTGGATCTGGGGTGGGTGACTTAGAGGAGTCATGTTGTTCTCTGAGCCTTAGTGTCCTCTACTGGTTGGCATAAGCATCTAGAAGATTATCTATAAACTCCTTGAGGACTGGGACTATACAATGGTCACTCTTACTTTCCTAGGTACCTAGCAGATACTTAAGTGCCCACAGATACACTTCTCAATGAACAAGTTAAATAGACTCTTACACCTGAAGTGATATACACAGAGGGCACATTTGGGTCAGCAGTGTGATAATTGTGTGTGGAAGGACCATTCAGAATGTGTTGGGTGACAGAGGGCTAGCTTTACTGTTTTTAAATTGATACTTAACACATAGGGAGATTAAGTTCTGAACAAACAAAGTGAAAAATACCTACTTGGAAAGTGGGAGGCCCCACTCATGGACTGGAATTAGACCCCTGATGTTGGCACTCAGATTCCCTTATGTTGAAAATGGCAGCCTCAGTTTCTCTTCTCAACTTACCAAATGATATAAAGGTCACCAGTAAGTCATGTATAAAATTGCCCTGTGTTGTTTAAAGAAAACTGATAATGTTTTCTGAGGCAGGTGACACAAGAGACAATTATGATTATTAACATGGCTGGGGAGCTATCACTCTCCCTTGGAAAGATGTCTCAATTGCCCAGAGCCTCTTCATCCTCATGTTGGGCACAACAGCAGAGCAAGGCTTCAGCTTTCTGAGAGGCTCTCCCATAAAATGAGCTCTGTAGGTAATTTCTCTTTCTGTTAGTACAGAATCATCAAAAGTGGTACCCAATGATGATGATGATGATACAGAAGTAAAAGGAAGGGATGGCTACACAGAAGCTTCTGTGGATAGGGCATATCAGGGTAACAGAGTATGGAGCCCACACTGGACTTCTGTAGTTCTCAGTCCAGCAAGCTAAAAGAGACAAAATTTATGTATATCATTCTAAGGCATAAAAAAACTAAAAGGGTACTAGGCCTCAGGTCTGTGTATGTCTCCTAGAAACAGGGGCCAGGATAAAATGAGATCACCTTGAGCCAAAGTACAGATGCATGCATCAGGATCAGCTAAGTAATAATCGCCAGCACATGCACACGGCACACACACACACACACACACACACACACACACACACACACTCAACAGGCCTTCTACTGGCAGTGCAGTGCTTTAAGGCTTGGTAATCTTTAGGCTGAGGGCTTATCTCCTGTTACGTGCACTGAGCCCAGGTGAATCTGCAGTACAGGAGAGAAACATGGCCACAGGCCTTTCCAATAGATGGGATAAAATATTCATTCTCGTAAATGATGCCTTCCTGTTAATGATAGGCAGATGGGAAGATTAAGAGGCCAGCACTATTAAAACAAGTGAGAACTTTTAGATAGCTACTTAAAATACACAGGACCTAATTGGGAAGCCCAGAGCCATGTAACATTGAGCTGAAAAGAGCTGAGAGACAGAGGTGCTTATTGCAGAGGTCAGAGAGATCTGCCTTAGAGATCCTATCTCACAGGCTCTGCAACCTCAGCAAGATCCCCGGTCCCCATAAGCCTCACTCCCCTTGTCTGAAAGGTGGAAGAATGACTCAAACCATAGTGGGAATTTGGAGAGATGAAAGTTATATGTAACCCCAATGTTTGGAGGCATCAATTATCACACATGTACCCCACTTCTGAGGCAGCATTTCTGAGGTACCCTATAGTGTGAGTCAGCATGATTCTGCAATGAGAACCCAGACCCATGTGGTTGAGCTACTTCTTGTAAGTATGTGTTACAAACAGCAGGAAAGCACTTACCCAGAGAGATCTTTGGACCTTATTTACTCATTTTACAGGTGGGTAAACTAAGACCCAGAGACAGGAAAAACCTACAATTTAAATCAATGGCTGGAGCCAACATTTGTTGCTAAGATTTGGATCCTCATAGATATTCATGCTCCAGGATGCTGCCCACTATTGTATCCCCATATAAGCATGTTTCAGTCTCACACTGACATGTGCTGGAGTGGAGCCCCCTACTTTGTAATTGGAGAAGTAAAGTCTGAAAAACAGTGTCTTGCCCTCCAACCATGACCCAAAGGTAGATGGCTAGAAGGGCCAAACTGGACCTCCAGCTCTGTCCCAGCCTAAGGCTGCTCTTTCCGGCAAGTTTGCTCTCCCAAGTGCTGTGCAACTACAGCTCAGTTGGATTCAAGTGCCTCTCCTATAGAGAAGGTGCTCTCTCTCCCTGGGATGGCAGGTTAATGGCTCTTTGTCCTCAATGCTTAGACACAATAGGGTGGGTCAGGGCTTTAGATCTGACTCTGGGGACAACGGCAACGTTTCTTTCTAGAGACAGAAATTTTGTTAAGTGAAGACACCTTGCATCTCAAGTAGATGCTCTTTGAAGGCATCCCTGCTCAAGCTCTCACTGGTGGTCCAATGGGAGGAGTCAGAGGTGGACCCAGGCGGGCACAAATAAACTACTAGTCTAAGAGGCTGGTTTAAACTGATTGTTGGGACAAACAGCATTGGGCTTGCTCATTTCAAATTCTACACATTTGATAGAAATTGAAAATAGGTTTTATTTTGATTTCACAATTAAAACACGCCTAAGGCTGAATAATAGAACACACAACTAAGTAAATTGAAACCACTGATTAAATAAAAGCACCAAATCACTCCTTCTCCCATAGTATTTATGTTTTAAATGAAGACTAAGGTTCTCATTAGTGAAAAATTATCATATTTACTAGATGTGTCACTATACCATGCTACTGGGGCCCAAGGTCCGAACCCTTACATGGGATTCCAGAGGTGGCTGAGGCTTGGCTTCTACCTGTATCCTCTTTTCAGTCTTGGCTCTAAGTAGCTGTGTAAGCCTGTGAAGTGTTTTCTAAACTCTAATCCATTGATGGCCCTCCCCACCAAAAGGCAGGATTAAAATGACTGTTTGATCACCTAGTTCTAAGAGTTGGATGAGTTTAGAAATGTTTTAAGTGTTCTTCACAGTTAGGAGCATTACTGCGTTTGCCTTTCAGGATGGAGAAAGCCTTCAGCTGTACTTTCTTCTGTTACAATCATCCTCCCAATGCTGTTTTCATATAGAATGGTCAAATTTGTCCCTTATGTATAGGAGGGAGGTTGGGTTTTTAAACAAACTGGATGCATACATTCCTTTGAGAGGTGAAAGACCCTTCTACTTGGTGGATTGCAATTCTCCAGTGTATTATCTCAGCACAGTGGAATGCTTGGGTTGTATGGTTAAGATGGTTTGAATAAATATGACCCACGGAGATGCATGTGTTGAATGCCTGGCCCATAGGGAGTGGCACTATTAGGAGCTATGGCCTGGTTGAGGTAGGGGTGGCCTTGCTGAAGTAGATATGGTCTTGTTGGAAGAAGTGTGTCACTGTGGAGGTGGGCTTTGAGGTCTCCTATGCCCCATGTAAGAGTTTTATTCTGTTACCTTTAGATCATGCGGTAAAACTCTTACTCAGCTCCATCTCCTGCCAGCCTGCATACTGCCATGCTTCCTGACATGATGAAAATGGACTAAATTTCTGAAACAGTAAGCCAGCCCCAATTAAATGTTTTCCTTTAGGAGAGTTGTCTTGGCTATGGTGTTCCTTCACAGCAATGAAACCCTAACTAAAATAATGCTACTTAAAACACCTATGATCTGTTCCAGATATGAACACTGTACCCAACTGGCCACTCAAGATGAGGCATAGAAACTGCAGGAAATTGCTGGGGAGTCAGCAGTCAGTGTTCCCAAAGGCATCTCCCACTCCTGGATGACCAGGAGACCCCAACTTCTTGAACCTCTCAGTATTGAGCCTATTAGCATGCTAGCAATTTGCTGGTGGAGCAGGTAAAGGAAGAAGCAAGGATCTTATACCTGGTAAATGTTTTCTTCTGTTTCAGGATCACGGATTGGCTCATGTCCAGCCTCAAACACAATGTACTATTGCAGGAGCAGCCAGAGAGGAAAAGGCAGAAGGAAAAAAAAAAAGAAAGACGAGAAAAGTATTTCGAATTTAGATGCAAATCACAACAAGCATCACAGAAACAGGCACAAGAGGGGGTATCAGGAGTAGGTACTGGGATGAAACGGACCCTGCCCAGGAACCCTGCAGAGTCTTGCTGCTTGGCCTCAGCTGGCTGTGAGGGCACTGCAAATCTTTCTGGAGAGGTGATGTCTTCATCCAGTGGCACTTTGTCTCCATAGCAGCTGATTGGAATGTTATCATGGGTCTACAGCCTGGCAAACTTCACTCCACAGTCCCCTTGACTTCCTAAGGTCCCAGGCCACTACTCAAGAGCTCAGAATCCCCAACCAACCTGATCCCCTAAACAGAATCTCATCAGTATGAAATAGTGAACTTCAACTTTTCTATGTGTACATTTCAGATTTAAAGGGCTGGGTGTTTCCAAAGGCCACCATTTCTCATCCTCCAGGAGCCCAGTAAGCAGTGCTTGAAGGTCCTGCTATAAGTAAGTTCTTTGTCTTCATCCCTCAAAAGCAAGGGTGTGTTGAGTAATACATTTCTGACTTGTGTTTACCACAGATCTTCTAGATACTTCTGTTTTTAGACTTATCTGTTTTCCTATGTATCTATGCATGTATCTATGTATCATCTCATTTTGATCATAGTCACAGTAGCTGATGCTGTGAAAGTATGCATACGTAAGGCAGACATAAACCACGCCTGCACATCGTGATTAGAAACATAAGTTGAAGGTTTGCTTTTAGGTTCAAAAAGTGTGTATAAATTTTGTTCCACTTTTTCTCCTTAGAAGTAAGCACAGGAGAGAGTGGGGAAAGCTACTTCTTCCTTCCTTTCTGAATCTTTGTTTGCACAGACTTTGGACTTGACCTCAAGAGGGGTCATTACCTACTCCTGGGCTGTGGACCGTGAAGAGAGTGCAGAGAAAGCCCTGGACAGAGATGTCTCAGGATTCTCTCATTTTATAGAAGCTCTGTGCCATGAGCCAAATAATCAGACAGTTAGCCTACATCATCAGGGCTTCAGAAATAGTCTTACATCCTTGCTAAAGCTCGAAAACCCTTTGTTAGGTTTGTGCTCAAATGTCATGCAAATGTCAGCCCCTCAGTCCTAATTCTTAGCTTATAGAGTCTACTTTATTATCCATATTGTCTCTAAGAAAATTACAACAGTCAAGAGACCACTGAAAAACATTTATTTCTAGGATCAAACTTTCCAGATTGTGGAGGGGTCTGAGGCAGGGGCACGAAGAAGGAAGTGGATCTCTAGATCGACCATCACAGCTGCTGGCTTCTTAGTGTGGAAAAATGTTCTCCCTGCAGAGGCTGGCAACCCTGGCCTTCAGAAATCATCTTAATTCTTCTGCAGGTTCTGCATTCAACAGAATCCTCAAGTTTCAGTCAAAAGAGCCTTCATAGCTGCATGCAAAACCCTGACATGGTTCAGAAATTACCTGGTACACGGGATCTTCAACATCCTCTTCCAAAATGGTCTATCCCATCGAGGGAAGGGAGGGTGAAAGCAAAGAATGCAAAGGAAGAGAAGTGAGATTATCTTCAGATGCTACAGCACAGTAGAGAGTCAGCATTGATTAGGATAGGGTAGGAGGCCATTAATGCAGAAAATACACAAAGAAACTCCAAATCCTGCAGCTCTCTCCCCACCCACTCCCGGCATTAACAACAGCAAAGCCAGCAAAGCTGATATGGGCCTTTAGTCTTCCTTCCCTGAAATCTTCCCCCGGATTAAAGAGTTCCATTTCTCTAGCCTATCTAGAGTCTCAGAATACAAACAAGAAGGATCACATCTAATGGCTTGGTGTGGGTGTCTGTAATCTACACAGGAACCTTTCATCTCTGCTTATTTCTGCTCAGCACCAGGAGGAGACAGTTCATCTTGTCAGGTTCCCGACGGTTTATTGTGGGCCCCCATCTTCTGCAGCACGGGGAGGAACACATAGGTTTACCTGGTACACAGCTTGTTCACACTGCTTATCCTTTTGTGCCTTTTTTTCCAATTCTTCTCTTTGCTTCAGCTCATAGATGAGTTGAAAGAGATCTCTCAAGTCCAGGATAACAGGTTCAGCCTGGAGTGAAGGGTGGTGGGACACATTAATGAAGAACGCTGCTGAACCGCAGCTACTAATTTTTGTCTGCGGCTCCAACCCGCAGCCCTTCCTTTTTCTATTAAACTGAAAGCATTCCATTCTTAATTAATTCTACCTTGTTTATATTGGCTTAGCAAATTGCTTCTAGGCTAAAGTTCATTTCTTCAACTAATTATATTTGCAAATTCATAATAATCATAAGCATAAAAAGCATTGCTTTTATTTATTAGTGATTTGGAATACAATAAAATTAGGGCAGGCCATATGCAAAACAGCTATTTGTTTTCTCTTATTTTCTTTTTAAATGAGGCTATGAACACAAGGAAACTTATTTGTATACGTGTCTCTATCTAGCTTAATCAGAAAGGGAAAATAATTAGTCATTAGGACATACCCATTAGGGTAAAAAAAAATAAAGCTGAATGTTTAGGGCCATGTTTCTTTGCTTTAAGGCTGTTTATCTTTCCTAGGTGGGATTCTGCACATCAGCTGACAGTGGTGGTACGTCATTTGGTCAGGCTAGGTCTTGGAAAATCAACAGTGTTGGCTCTGTCCTGCATAGTAACAAGGAAAACACCTGTATTGGACAGGAATACATACCGCCTGGGCTGTTTTGATGGCCACAAATCTGTGATTCCCCTCCTTCCCGCAAACGTATCCAAAAGCCCGGTGATCTGTGATGTCCTTCGCAATGTAGGAAATTTCATGAACAGCATGGTGATGCTGAAGGGCCTGGGACACACAAAAGGAAGAGTATGTTTCAGGGAACACACCCCCTCGAGCTGTTGATCAATAAGAGATGTGTTTCTGTCATGTGTGAAAGGCCCAAGGGGCTTTGGGAAAGCTGTTTGGTCCAGATGGAAGGAAAAAGAGCTACGCCTGCCCTTGAGAAAGGGAGGTCTCCCTCCATGGTCTCATTGCTGTGACCAGAGATAAACCAGGACTGTTCACATGGGAGTGAGCATCTGCAGAGGTGGCTTCACACTGCCTGCCAAAGCCTCCCAGTCGAAATCAGCCCACATGCTTCTTTCTGCTTGCAACCTTCACAGCACAGCCCAGTCCAATCTGTCTCAATAGTGAACACACTTACGTTCTCAGGCCTTTGTATACAGAGGGAGGGGCTGTCCCTTGAACAACTTCAGGGAGTGCTGTGAACTTCCCAGTACTCTACTTTTGTGGGGTTACTGAGTCTCCCCAGCAGTTGGTGAAAATCTGTGTTGAGGGATGAATAACTTTATCTTTTTGAAAGTCATAAGTTAGGGCAGATGTCGGGGCGCATGCACACACCCACGTGCACACACACTTTCCATCAGTTGAATCTTTCTACCTGGACTGTCTGATTCCATCACCATTTTAAGTTCTCTTTTGATGGCCACAGGAAATGACACTCTGTCTGTTAAGCAGCCCCTGAACAGGGCTAGCCTTCCCTTTCCTTGAAGGAACATTCCCTTAACACTCATGATGGATTTCTCTCACACTCATGGTCGCAGATTTTGTTCTGATAAGTTTGTCTGGCTTCTGGACCACTGTCCACCTTAGACTCTGTCTCCCGGCCTTGCGCTAAACTCCACCCATTTTGGTGAACTGATGAAATCTGGTATATGCTTGGTAGTTTGAAATTGGCCTTTCTGTTTTTGTTATTCAAGCTACCACAGAACCAAAGTTTCCCATCCTGTTAAAAGATGTGTATGTTTGTGGTTACTTTCCTATAATAATCCCATATATCATATCAATTAATACTCTATAAAGGCTTGTAGATGCAAAGAGATGCTCACAGTCAGTCCAGAATCGTTTTAAAGAGCATTTTCTTTACATCAAGAAGCTTGAATTCTGGCCACTGTACCAATGCAAACCACTCACCAGTCCTTTCTGAACCACAGTTTATTTCTTAGAAAAACCACACCAAATGATCCTAATTCAAAAGCCCTGGCTCTATAAGGATCAATAAAAGCAATAAAAAAGCAAATTTCAATAACCTAAAAGGACTTCAAGTACTATATTGAACAGATATGGAGAGAGTAGACATTCTTGTCTTGTTCCTTATTTTATTGAAAATGGCTTGAATTCCTCTCTGTCTTTAGAATAATGCTGGCTGTGGGATTGATGCTGAAAGATATAAATTTATAATTATTCCTAATCTCTCTCTATATATATTTGTGCATGCAAATGTTTAATTAGAATTATATCTGCTTATTGTTGCTCTGTCCCCTAGCTTATATTTGAGTAAGTTTCAAATAGTTCAGGGAAAGAAAAAAGAATGTGTTTTGTGGTAAACAAAATCTTTCCTATTCCTGAATACCAAGAAGGAGGGAGAAGCAAAGACAGCACAGGCAGCTCCTCTAGGAAAGCCTTTAGAACTACTAGGGGAGGTATTCTCTTAGGTCCTGTACCAGGTTTCCTGTCCCTTAAAGACACTCAGGTCTCCTGGCCAAGATGGCTTCTGGTTCTCATGAGGATCTTCACCTTAATTGAAGAGATCACTGACCTTACAAAATGTCCGTTCCTCAGCCTCTTGCTTGACTAGGTTTCTGCCTTGCCTTCATCTGCCAGGATGCAGCTGCTACTCACCCATTTGATGACCCTTAGAACTCTCACTTCTGCCTCATCCTCTTTCCAGGGGCCCATTGCTCCCTGAAGAGTCATGTGGCATCACCGCCTGAAGTCCTTAGTCTCTCAACTGGCAATATGGCAAGTTTATACTTTGAGTGGATTTTGATGTGATTAAAGTTGGTGGAGGAAGGGTTTGTTAGCAAAACAATCAGAATCTGCTTGTTTTGTTTCATCAAAAGGACAGATTTAGCTAGCAGAGGAAAATTGCTCTGAGAGGAGTAGCTTTTTCATGGTGTTAATGATGTAAAATTGATGAGATTTATATTCACGCAACATGGGGCATTGATTTATAAGCTTTTGTGAGCTAGACTGGTATGTGGCAGGGGAAAATTGGAGACAAAGGCATTCTTTTCTTCTCCCCCTTTTTTCTGAAAGTATTTCTTTCCCTGCATAATGTAGAGGATGTAATCCACGTCTCCTATTAAATCCAAGTTTGACGACACTGCCTTATTGATTGCCAAGCAGAATATTGCTCTAAAATTAAACAGCGATTAGAAATCTTCCTGGTGGAATTAGGTTTAGAGATGAGTGTGCAATGGCAAAATATCACCTACCATGACGAGAGCAGATGGAGATGGTTTAATTTATCTACGAATCTTCATTAAGTATTTTAAATCAAAACATTCTTAATGCTTGATGATACCTAATATTGCCTTGCAAAGTGTTAGCTGTGTCAGTGCGTGTGCACAAAGTACTTAAAGATATTTGTAACAGTATCTTTTCCTGTAGTTAATTTTATGACATGTTAAAGAGGAGTGCTCTCCAAGTGTCTCATTCACTTGAAAACTAACCATCAGTGAGGGAATATGTCTCTTCTTTCCCCGACTTTCTACTATATAGAAACAATATAGGACACATGGAAACACACACATTGGGATTTGGTAAATTCTACAGTTGTGTTTTACATTCATTTACATTCATTTTAGCAACTCAGAGCATCATGCAAATGCTTCTTCACTGAGTCCAGAAGACCATTATCTTGGTCTTCAAATAGATGTGTTATTATGCAACACAGTCAAAGGTACTTGGAAACAGAAGGAACCTTAAATGTTACATAGCATGTCTCTGAGTTTATTCACAAAGAGACCAAAGGCCAGAGACTGTACTGGCATAACCACAAAAGATTTGTCTTTCTTACCCAGGGTGGCGAAGCATTGACGATGAAAATAGGGTTATATAGAAGCTAGGTCTCATTTCCGAGGAAGCCTGGCTCTCTAGTTTGAACAAGCAAAAGCTGAAGCTCATGAACAGGGAGGAGAAAGCAAGTGAAACAAAGAACTAGAGACAGAATGAATGGTGACTGTCTGCAATGCAGGCGGGTGTCTGAGGTCAGAGAGGGTAACAAATCAAAACACACAGAGGTGAATTACAGGGGTCCCAGAGAAAGTAAGCAAGGAAGCAAGACCCGAAGTTTATATCTAGTTCTTATAAGTCACTTCCAGGTAATGCTGTCTAACTTTTCTATGTGTCTGTAGAGCAGCCAAAGCCAACATGTCAAAGAGAGGCTATCACTGGTCATGGATGACAAAGAAAGCTTGACCCAAGGAGTGTGTTTCTGTGGGAAAATTTGGGCCATGGCAGAGAAGATGAGACCTGAGTGGAAAGCTGAGAGTGGGAGAGTGCACGCTCTATACATGCCTGGTTTCTATGGCTCATGGAAAACAGTGCCTCAGGGCAGACACTTGCTCTTGCTAGTAAAGGAGGTTGTTGGTCTTATGAGCTGGGCTTTCAGGATGCCTTATTCTGCGCCTTCTTCCCTACACTGTGGATCAAAGTTGCTGGTAGAAGATCCCAGGGATCATCCATGCATCGCCATCTTCAGTCCAGTCTTACCTCATCTTCTACATGAACTTTAGGTGTCCCACCCGACGAACAACTCCTTTTCGTAGTTTGTGCCTTCCCACCTCTGTACCACAGAGCATGCTATTTTCTCTGTGGATCACGCTCTCCCTCCTCTCCCCTGTGGTTTATTAGCTACACAGGCAACTATACTATTTCCAGCACCACTGTAGCCATGCTTCAAAGTCTGGCTGCAGCATCTTGCTCATCAAGGAACCTTCCCTTACACCTCCATTTCCTTTAGATAATTCCCACCCTCCAACCCCATGGTGTCACATCTGACCTTCCGTGTAAGAGTTCTTTGGGTTTTTTTGCACCAAATCTATCCATAACATTCAGTGATTTACATCACATATAGGTACTATGGGTTGGCTATGATTTGGTTCGATGCAGATGGTCTCAAGGTCTCATAAAACAGACATGTGGCAAACCCTAAAACCACGATATAGCATGGTAATACTTACATTAAATACATGTTGCATAGGCAGAAAACCTGAAAGAAGATTTCAGGATACCAACCAGGGAACAGCTGCCCCTGACCTGTTCTATGAAGCACTTGATAATGGAGTGGAACAGAGGTTGCTTCCCAGTCCTGGAAGCAGAACCAGGGAGGGGACATGTGGAAGATTTGCCGGAAGAGGCTGGAAGAGGCTGTAATCTCAGTCTAAGTCTTGAAGAATAAATGGGAACATCCCAGAAGAGTAGGGCAAAGGTTGTGTTATAGAAAGCACCTGGGTTCTAAGAACAGGTTCTCATTTCCTCTCTGCTTTGGGAATATTAAGTCTTTAGAAAAAGATCCATGATGGGTTCTCTTGAGTTCTTAAAAAAGTTTTCTCTGGGACAATAAGTGCTACCTAGTGAGTACTGAAGGAGGGTAAGGGTGGGCCAAGCCATCTCCATGTACTGCTCAAGGTAGGCACTCAGTAAATGCTCATCGAGTGGCTGCATTGGGTTAACTCACGACTTTTCACATAGGATTCATTTTGTGAACAGAGGGATTCTTAGCATCATTAAATCTTTTTCTTTGCATTTCCATGAGCCATTTAACAATGTTTAAATGAAGTATCAAATTGTTTGGGGGGCTACTGTCTGACAGAATAAATTACAGAGAAGACTTAATTTGTACTATGGTTCAATACAGCCAATTAAATACAGTATGGATTAGAAAGTCATCTGCCGAAGACTGTACCATTAGCTATTTTTAAGGAATAAATTCTACCCTGTTTAGCTTTCATATAATCATTGTGTATATGCCCTCCCTGCTTCTCTCTTTCCTGATGCAA